AAAAGAGACATTACAAGCAAAGTAACATTACAGACAGTACAGTACAGTACAGGCACAATAACAGCTTCTAAATTAGGGTCGGCAATGGTAGCAATAAGAGAGAGAGAGAGAGTGAGAGAGTGAGTGAGTGAGAGAGAGAGTGAGTGAGTGAGAGAGAGAGTGAGTGAGTGAGTAGACTAGGCCCTTTTTACATGATCTGATAGGATTCACAACATCCGCTGTGAGTGACCTTGAGTGACTGGGTGACGTTGACTGACTGTGAGTATTCTTGTGTGACCGTATTAGTCTGTGGGTAACCGTAAGTGACTGCGACTGACCGTGAGTGACTGTGGTTGACTGTTGCAAGGATGCGGTCACCTAATTAATTGATTCCTCAGTCACTCTCGTTATCAAAATCCAAGTTATATCCGCACATAATTTCTGACTTACAGTATGCTCGTTAAGGTAAGGTATGCTAGGCTAGCTTAGGTTAGGTTATTATTATTATGATGAATATTATTAATATTTTTATTATTATTATTATTATTATTATTATTATTATTACTATTATTATTATTATTATTATTATTATTATTATTATTATTATTATTATTATTATTATTATTATTATTATCATTATTACTATTATTAGTATTATTATATTATTATTATTACTATTATTATTATTATTATTATTATTATTATTATTATTATTATTATTATTATTATTATTATTATTATTATTATTATTATTATTATTATTATTATTATTATTATCATTATTACTATTATTAGTGTTATATTATTATTATTACTATTATTATTATTATTATTATTATTATTATTATTATTATTATTATTATTATTATTATTATTATTATTATTATTATTATCATTATTATTATTATTATTATTATTATTATTATTATTGTTTTTCGTCTACCCAACACAATAGTATTTCTTAAGACACTTGTAGAGGAAGAATAACTTTAGGAAACACTACAACACAAAGGTAACGTGAAGCAACACATAGAACACTAAGGTTACATACACTACAGTAAAATATATTACAATAAATAATGGCTACAAGTTTATTCCAGTTTATGTTAAGGTTGTCTGGTGATTTAAACTGTTGCATGGCGATGTTGTTATAACACTGAAGACAACATCAAGACAACATCGACACAACACTGAAGACAACATCAAGACAACATAAAGACAACACTGAAGACAACATCAAGACAACATCGACACAACACTGAAGACAACATCAAGACACATAAAGACAACACTGAAGACAACATCAAGACAACATCGACACAAGCACTTAACACTTAAACAACATCAGGACATCAGCTACACAGGTCATTCACTACGAATTCAACTACATACACTTATCAAGACACAGAGACGCACAGAGGTGAAGGTGACCACGTAGGTGAGGACAGTAATTAACACCTGGGAGTAATTAACACCTGAGAGTAATTAACACCCGACTCTCAATTAAAACTAGCTTCCTCACCCCCTCCCCCTAGCTTATCTCGTCTGATGATAAAGCACCCTAACATTACTTGGGGTGGGTTAGTTTACGTTAGGTTAGGTTAGGTTAGGTTAGGTTAGGTTAATCTTAATAAGCTGGGGTTAAGCTTCTCATGATACGACTTGCATGAAGCGTTTTCGGCCTATTTAATTCGCATGGTAATTGTCTCCTTACTTCCTTTAGTATATAATTTCCTTGAGTAAGTACATTGTTATTTTATAAGTACATATTTCACGCGCCAACACTACATAGCTTTTATTTTAATACTGGCATTTGTAATCTTAGGAATGCTCTCCGGCCATACAAAAACTGGGAGGTATATTTACTCATTGGCAACCCATCATCATCATTATCCAGATGTCATGGCGGCCGAAACAAAAGACTGACGCACGAGATCGCCTGACGCAGTAATGAATGTTTACATAAACGGCCTTACTAACACCTCCCTGGCGATAAACACACAGAGTCATAACCCATGTAAACAAATAGACAAACTCACAAGCTCTGTAAACACACAACCTCTGTAAACACACAACCTCTGTAAACACACAACCTCTGTAAACACACAACCTCTGTAAACACACAACTTCTGTAAACACACAACCTCTGTAAACACAACTGTAAACACACAACATCTGTAAACACACAACTGTAGACACAGAATCTGTAAACACACAAACTGTAGACATACATTTGTCTGTGAGCACAGTATCTTGTGGGCGCACACTGTGGGCCTTTGATCTAGACGCAGGCTGGTGGACTGTAGGCCGGACACAACTTATTGGGCCTTTTGACTGTGTAGACGCACGGTATCTTGTGAACCATGACTAATGGCATGCGGATCTGTGGGCGCACGGTATCTTATTGGGACGCGGCCTGTGTGGGCCTTGTTATCCTTATAGACGCAGGCTCTGACAGACCTATTGACATCTTGAAAACCTGAACGCTCTGTGAAGCACAGTATCTCGTAGACACTTGCGAGCTGTGGGGCTACTACTGAACTTAACACGGTATGAATGCTGGCATCTGTGTGAATACTGACATCTGTGGGCCTTTTGACTCTGTGGAGCGCAATCTGTGAAGCTACTTGTTATCATGGGCACACAACTTCTGTAAACACACAACCTCTGTAAACACACAACTTCTGTAAACATACAACTCTCTGTAAACACACAACCTCTGTAAACACACAACCTCTGTAAACACACAACCTCTGTAAACACACATCTGTAAACACACAACCTCTGTAAACACACAACCTCTGTAAACACACAACCTCTGTAAACACACAACCTCTGTAAACACACAACCTCTGTAAACACACAACCTCTGTAAACACACAACCTCTGTAAACACACAACTTCGACATTACCAATCCTACCGTGCGCGTGTAGTGTACTATTTCCTGAATGTTTGTGTGTGCACGAATAAATGTACACACACACACACACACACACACACACACGTCATGAAATCGTCACTATATTGATGATGAAAGTGCCTGTGTGTGTGTGTGTGTGTGTGTATAGTTTTAGTTATGTATATTTATGGCCAGCACCAAATTCCTTCTTCAGTGTGGGTATTTAGATAATGGATTTCAATATTAGGTGTAAAAAGAGGTAGGTGTGGCAGTTGGGTGTATGAAGTGTGTAGGTGTGGCCAGGTGGGTGTAACAAGGTGTAGGTGTACAGTTGGGTGTAACAAGGTGGTGGCCAGGTGGGTGTATCAAGGCGCAGGTGTGGCCAGTTGGGTGTAACAAGGTGTAGGTGTGGCCAGTTGGTGTATCAAGTGTAGGTGTGGCAGTTGGGTGTATCAAGGTGTAGGTGTGGCCAATTGGGAGTGTGTGTGTGAAGGTATGGAGGGTGTCAAGGTGTGGTGGGTGTGTCAAGGTGTCGTGGGTGTGTCAAGGTGTGTGGTGGGTGTGAAGGTGTGGTGGTGTCAAGGATGGAGGTGTGGAAGGTGTCGTGGTGTGTCAAGGTGTGGTGGGTGTGTCAAGGTGTGGTAGGTGTGTCAAGGTATGGAGGGTGTCAAGGTGTGTGGTGGGTGTGCTGGGTGTGTCGTGGGTGTGTCAAGGTGTGGTGGGTGTGTCAAGGTGTGGTGGTGTGTCAAGGTGTGTCGTGGGTGTGTCAAGGTGTGTCGGGTGTGTCAAGGTATGAGGGTGTGTGAAGGTGTGTCGTGGGTGTGTCAAGGTGTGTGGTGGGTGTGTGTCAAGGTGTGGTGGGTGTCAAGGTATGGAGGGTGTGTCAAGGTGTGTGGTGGGTGTGTAAGGTGGCGGGTGTGCTGGTGTGGTGGTGTCAAGGTGTGGTGGGTGTGTCAAGGTGTGGTGGGTGTGTCAAGGTGTGTGGTGGGTGTGTCAAGGTGTGTCTGGGTGTGTGAAGGTGTGGTGGGTGTCAAGGTATGGAGGGTGTGTGAAGGTGTCGGTGTGTCAAGGTGTGTGGTGGTGTGTCAAGGTGTGGTGGGTGTGTCAAGGTGTGTCGGTGTGGAAGGTGTGGTGGGTGTGTAGGCATGGAGGGTGTGAAGGTGTCGGGTGTGTCAAGGTGTGTGGTGGGTGTGTCAAGGTGTGGTGGGTGTGTCAAGGTGTGTCGTGGGTGTGTCAAGGTGTGTGGTGGGTGTGTCAAGGTGTGGTGGGTGTGTCAAGGTGTGTCGTGGGTGTGTGAAGGTGTGGTGGGTGTGTCAAGGTATGGAGGGTGTGTGGCGGGTGTGTCAAGGTGTGGTGGGTGTGTCAAGGTGTGGTGGTGTGTCAGGTGTGTCGGGTGTGTGAAGGTGGTGGTGTCAAGGTATGGAGGGTGTGTGAAGGTGTGCGGGTGTGTCAAGGTGTGTGGTGGGTGGCAAGGTGTGGTGGGTGTGCAGGTGTGTCGGGTGTGTCAAGGTATGGTGGGTGTGTCAAGGTATGGTGGGTGTGTCAAGGTATGGTGGGTGTGTCAAGGTGTGTCGTGTGTCAAGGTGTGTGTGGGTGTGTCAAGGTGGTGGGTGTGTGCGTGGGTGTGTCAAGGTGTGTCGTGGGTGTGTCAGGAGGGTGTGTGAAGATGTGAAGGTGTGGTGGGTGTCAAGGTATGGTGGGTGTGCAGGTGTGTCGGGGTGTGTCAAGGTGTGTGGTGGGTGTGTCAAGGTGGTGGGTGTGTCGTGTGTCTGGTGTCAAGGTATGGAGGGTGTGTGAAGATGTGTGAAGGTGTGGTGGTGTGTCAAGGTATGTGGGTGTGTCAAGGTGTGTCGGGTGTGGCGTGTGGTGTCAAGGATGGAGGTGAAGATGTGTGGATGATGGTGGGTGTGTCAGGTATGGTGGGGTGTGCAGGGAGTGGTGGGTGTGTGAGGTGTGTCGTGGTGAAGGTGGTGGGTGTGTCAAGGCATGGAGGTGTGGGTGTGTCGGGTGTATCAAGGTGTGTGGTGGGTGTGTCAAGGTGTGGTGGGTGTGTCAAGGTGTGGTGGGTGTGTCAAGGTGTGGTGGGTGTGTCAAGGTGTGTCGCCAGGTAGGTCAGCTTACCTTGTTTTTGTTCATCCATCGTCGCTGAGCGTCTGACGCCCGTTTCTTGTCACCAACCTTACCTCCCCAGGCACTCTTCCCGTTTGGTAACTGTAGGAGACAACAGAGAGAAGACAATGATTAGCACTTCACACTTACTTCTTGATGACTTAGAAGACTAGAGAGAGAGAGAGAGAGAGAGAGACCAATAACACCTGTGTCGTGACAAATTAGCCACGCTACACTGCTGTACTCTTCATAAATAAATAAACATCTACCTTTGTGCAAGAGGGAAGTTGATTATACCTGTCGTACCTGTTGTTAATGACTCTGGGGTTGGATGATCCACGGTAAGGCGGGGGGGGTAGTGGAGGTGATCCTGACAACCTCCTATGAAATGTTTAATCACAGTGAGTTTACTCTAGTGACGAGACGAGCTTACATCTGCCAGTTCGTCCACCAATGCGGTCAAAAGTGTTCTTGTGTTTTTCTATACGTGTGAGACTGTTTGCTGAAGTTATGTTAAGGATGATATGCATTACATTACGTTTGAAGACATTAAGTACATGGAGATTCATAAATCCGGGTAGACATGGTTAGTTATTTCTGATATTTGTCTGTGAAAACTGATAGTTCTTCTGAAGGGAAGGTGAGGGACGTGCAGTTATTGTCCGTGGAGGAAGGTACACCACTAAATAGGAGCTTTATGCCGAGCTTTCATTTGTATTATAGGCGGGATCTTAATGGCTCTATTTCGTGTTTGGGCCGCTAGGAAACTTCCTCTCTTCGGGAGGACTGTTTAACTTGGCCTGGTTGGGTTCTCTGTTGAGCGTAGTGAGGTTGCGGACAATGTTAATGACGGTACGCATCGTCCGCGGAGGCTTCTGGAGCACTGCTTTACTGTCAGAAGTGACGACATATTCCCCGTTGGAGATGGGTGAGGTGGAGATGTTCTCGCCCTCCTCGGCGTGCACGTGCCAGAACAGTAACTTGGAAGGCCGTCTTGACCTCACAGGTTCGTTGACCCACAGCGACCTGAGATACGTCAGTAACCTCTCCCACCAGGGGAGACGCTGTCGCTCAGCTGCTATATTATTCAAGGTCGTGATCGCCTCTAGTACGAACTGCCTGAATTCTTCGTATTGGGGTTCTTCTGGGATGCTTGTCCTTCTCTCTTGGTTTGGGGAAGGTGTGGACACTACCGCCGCATCTGTTATCTCCTTTTCTATCTTGGCGGGAAATAGATTCTTCATGGGCAAACTTTCTATGGGTTTTTGAGGGACTGATTCCACTTTGGTAGGCCCGGGAGTGACCGTGGACGACCGCTGCTGTAGTCGCTGCAGCAGACGTGGGCGAGGTTTGACAGGCCAAGCCTTGCCCTCCGTCTGGACGCTTGTAGGTTCTAGTGGAGTCACCGCGTTGGGTTTCCATTGTTCATAGTTATGCTCGGTAAAGTCGGACGCGCTGTCTCCTGCTGCAGAAAATTGTTGTAGGTTCACTTCTTCCATGTGTCGCACGGAGAAGGAGTACATGACTTGGTGTGGAACACATCAACACCTGGCAGTAAGAATGGGGGCATGGCGGGGCGGGGTGGGGTGGTCAGCACCCCCAGGTGCATTGTGAGCTCATCCACATAAACACGTTTCAGTCTGGTGGCTCCATGAAACCTCTTGGTATCCGTAGTCCCAGTTATCGCTGAGGTTAATTACTGTACTCGCAGGGATTTCATTTAGTTGTCCGTCGTTACTGTGAACAACTGGGATATTCAAGTCCTTCGCTTTTCACTTAACATCCAAATGTAAACACTGGACCTCTTGGTACACCCCCACGAGGCCATCACAGCTCACACACCACAACCCTAGTCACCTTTTAGTTGGTTTCTTCCCAAATGTTCGATTCCTGATCTGTTTTCTTTTTTGGGTCATGACAGAAGTTGAAGAGTCAACATTAATTCTTGTCTTTAGAATCAGCTCGAATTCGTGTCTGAAGGGCAAGGAAGCTTTAATCTGTGTTTGTATAGTGCGACAGTTCTATTTCGTTTCCACTTAGACAAGCACTTCTAATACGTATTCTCACAAAGTATACAAACATACACGAGCTGAACTCTCACGTAGAAAATCGGGGATTAATCTGTATTATCGCCTGCAGGAGGTAGTACTTGCGGAGCAGAGCGAGGAAGGGGAGTGTGACAGCCCAGTGCGTGGCGGAGTGTGGACAGTATGTGTACTGCCGGGGACGTTGGCAGGGCGGAACTACCTGATGTGTTTTGACTGCGTTGCCTTAGTGATTAGAGCTCTCACTCACTCACGCACTCACTCACGCACTCTCCTCAGCATACTCTTACTCCGCATTGAAAGAATTGAATAAGAATGAAACCCAAATGGGCTTTAGATACGAGATTGCAGATTGTAAATAATTTGGTATGCGACAGTGGACCCACAGCGATTTCATTCCAGAGATCCGATCAATATGATATATAATTCACAGTAACGACACTACTACTGGGTATGTATCAGGTGTCATCGACTCTACTGCAACTTGCAAAGACCCCCTCCTCCCCTCCCACCCAAAAGACAAGATTCCTGTACGGAAAACGACCCACCGAAAACGACCCACCGAAAACGACCCACTAAAGACAACCTGCCAAAAAAGACCCACTTAAACACGACCCGCTTAACACGACCCACCAAAATCGATCTACCAAAAAGACCCACTAAACATGACTCACCGAATAAGACTCGCCGAACAGAACCCAATAAACGCATCTGACAATTAATAAAAGCTTGTGATTTTTTTTCCCGGTTGTGTTTTATCTTAAGTGGGATTTTCTTTTGTGATATACCGACAGGAATTTCAAAACGTTTAAGACTAAGTAATTAATTATGTTATCGCGTTGGTTTTCCTGTATAGTGAAGACTCAGCTGTACATATTGTTATCTTTTATGAAGCTTACGAACAAAGAGCAGGACATAAGTCACGGTCAGTCTTGAAGTAGAACACACACACACACACACACACACACACACACACACACACATACACACACATACACACATACACCAGTATATCAGTCTAAGTAAGTGGTCATAAAGTAAAATCAAGGAATTTCAGACTAATATGTTTACCCATTCGACATGGTGTGTGTGTGTGTGTGTATGTGTTTGGGGTGTGTGTGTATGTGTGTGTGGGGTGTGTGTGTATGTGTGTGTGGAGGGGGGGGGGAGAGGGGCGGTCTACGCAACAGCTAAGATAAGATCAAAGTTTCTAACACGCCAAAGTATTTCCTAACACAGAGTTCTAACACGGGACAAGCCTATGAATACAGATGGACGCAGTTTTCATAATAATTAATAATTCTAATCGAAAAAGAATTGTTCACCGTGTAATGTTCTGTATTCTGAGAAATTCTTAAAAGAACTGGTGACGGGAGCACACAGCCGTCTACCCTCGCCATGACACAGCGCTCACAGAAGAAAAAAAAATGAGTTAATACACTGTGACTCTCCGTGAATGTAACTCAGTGTTATAACTTATAAATTTTTGTGTTTCTCAGAATGTTTCGAAACACTTTAGAGATGTTGATGTTATAATGTATTACAACGCTTCAACAAGTAAGGTCTTTATGTTGATGTTATAATGTATTACAACGTTTCCACAACTAAGGTCTTTATATTGTATTATTACGCTTCAGTAATCAATGTTATAAGGTATTGCTACGTTTGGTCATTTTATTCTTATTTTTGGTAGTTATTGTAATTTTATTCCTATTTTTTGGTAGTTATTGTAATTGTATTCTTATTTTTGGTAGTTATTGTAATTGTATTCTTATTTTTGGTAGTTATTGTAATTTTATTCCTATTTTTGGTAGTTAATGTAATTAAGTTTGAGGTAGAATTCTCAAATCATTATTGACAAGGGAGAATGAGTGTGAAAAATAGATGGTGGTGTGTGTTGGCGTGACAAATTGATTGACGTAACATTAATACAAAGTGTGTAGTAAGTAGTTGTGATGTGTAGAGCGCTGGCAACTGTCTGGATAACATAACAGCGCTAGTAGAAGGGGGGAGGGGGTGTGTGTGTTGTTCCTACCTCACACCATCCACACAGCTCTTACGATCCTGTATGAGAGAGAGAGAGAGAGAGAGAGAGAGACAGAAAGAGAGGAAAGAGATGGTAGGAGAAGAAATAGAGAGATAGAGAGAGAGAGAGTTGCGTAATATACATATATCTACAACTCCGTCCGTTCTTTTATGATAAACACGCTTAATATAACACAAACATACAAAAGAAAGTGTTGAATCGTTCTTAACACTGAGTAGACAAAAGAAGATTTATTTAACCCTACTTTTATTTTTTCGGGACAAACCTCAACTGAAACTCTATACCTTAACTTCATACCATAACATAGCACAAGTTAAGGGACTGAATAAAATAGCACCGAGATTATACCTATAAATTATATATCACTTTAACACCAGATAAAGTTAATAGAGGGGTATATTTTTCTATACCATTTTTCTACCTTAATTTTGTCCCCTAACTGGTGCTAAATGATTTATCTCGTTAATGTTAAGTCTTTATGTAATTGTGACGTTATTGCACGTTATTTGTGTGTGTGTGTGTGTGTGTGTGTGTGTGTGTGTGTGTGTGTGTGTGTGTGTGTATGTGTGTGTGTTTGGTGTGTTACGACGTGTAGAAAGCTATAATATATAATCATCATCATCATCATCATCATCATCACCATCATCATCATCATCATCATCATCATCATCATCATAAATTCCCCCATGTACTTAAGTGTCTTTCTACATACACTACCTGATTCCCTTAACCTATTCTTACTCCTGGGTTAACCTATTTTTGCCCTTGGGTTGCCCTATTCTTGCCCCTGGGTTTCCCTATTCTTGCCCATTGCCCCCCAGTATAAACCAACCGTAGTCTTCATTAGAGAGGGACATATACGATCATTTTAGCTCATATATAACGGTAAAATATTTCTAGGTTATGAACATTAAATAATTCAACCCGGATTCAGATGATCAATTGCTTACAGATATTCGGTATCTGACAATGTTATGGTTAATGGGGGTAATAACAACAGCTAGCTATGG